GCATGTAGAAGGGTTCTTGCAGATGCCGTTTTCTGGAGCTTTGGGGTTATCGTCTTGGCGCGGTCTGTTAGGCGTGGATGGGTTTCACGACTCGATCGGGCGAACTGTTGTCATTCGTTGTGCTCGTGGTGTCGGCTCCCCACCTACTAATCTGCATCTAGGACTTCTTCAGTGCGTAGAACTTCGTGCACTTGGTCAGGGTGCCCCTTGCGCCGGACCTCTCTGTCTTACCCGATCTATTATGCACTCTACTCGTTCTGGAACGCGCTCCGCGAGAAGTTTTGTTGTATCCGAGAACGTGCAGCATCAGCACATCGGCCCATGTTCGCGTTTGTGGACTGACGGTGTGTCGCAGTATTTTGGCCACGGCTGTTGGGCAGGCATGTCATGCGGAGCTGACCTGGGACGGGGGGCGCAGACGCGCGGTGGGGGTCCAGGATTACACGGGTAGCCAAGGCAATGTGTGCATACATATATTCACGCGCACTTGCAAATATTCCGTTTTGCGAGAGCGAGTCGACGTTACCCCGCCACCTCCGAGCTTCAGAGAGGTGTCACGCTTGCAGGTCAACTGTGCGCTCACGCAATTCAGGGATATGTTGGTTCGGCCATTGGTCGGTGTCGCAGGCAAACGAGGGGCTGTCCGTGGATCGGGTGAGCGAGGGGGGCGTCTCGCGTCTTTGCTTGATCTGGGGGCTCCTGGATGCGATCCGCCCACCGCCTGCGCCCGTGCATTTCTGATTCACGGCGCCGCCCATCAGGCTGCGTATTCGTCGCGCGTGGCCCGCTCTGCTGCAGAAGTTTGGAGACGCTCGGCCTGGCCGTCGGCCTCCTCGCGGACGTGGGCCAACGGAGGGGCGGTGGCGCTCCCTCCGCTGGGGGCGGGATGGGGCCCCTCGGAGCTCGACCACTGGAAGCACCTTCGGACTTTCCCGGGGGTTGGGATGCTTGGAGGTGCCCCGAAGAGAGTTCCATCTGGCAACGCTGTCGTGGGACCTCTCGCTCCCGTTTTTGCGCGACGTTGCCTCTCTTGTGCGGGCCAGACAGCGGCGCCAGGCCGCGCAGCGCTGGTGCGGGGCAGGAGCGCGATGCGGGTAGATAGTTCCTCGGGCTTTCGCTCGCTTCTGCGTTTGAAAGCTGCGCCACGTGGGGGAATGTTCGAGTGTACTGACGGCGGCCAATTCGGCGGGGCTACTGGCCCAGAGCAAGGGCGAAGCTGGAGGTTGACAGCGCAGTCGGCCCATTTTCCCTCTGGTGTCGGACACAGCGCCCGAGACCGCGTTGTGCAGGGTCCGGGGGCGCGAGTGGGTCGCGCGGGGGCAGCGGGCCGCGAGCAATCGGCATGCCTGGTCGCTGGATCTTTCGTGCAAGCAGACGCAGATCCAGCGTTCTGGCCTCGAGGGCTTCCGTCGTCACCAGCCGCTGCCTCGCCGCCAGCTCAGACCCGAAAAGGTTATATTATGCGGCAGGATGCAAGCGGGTTTTACCTGGAGCCTCAGTTTCCGGATCAGAGTCTGACCCCGTTCTGATTTTCTGAGGCGCTTCGGGAGGGGGAGGTTCGGGGGGCAGCTGGTTCCGTCGCTTCTGATTCGCTGCTGTATCGCTTTGTTTGCGCACCCCTGTCACTTTGCGTGCTTCAGTGATTGAAGGGCTCCCAGGCTCGCGGGAGTCTGTTCCCCGCGGCGAGTTGCTAGCGAGAGATTTGGCATTCAGGGCGTCGCGCGGCCGCCTGGGCTATGTGACCGACAACGACTTGGTGATCGCAGGATTTTCGGCTGTTGGTATCTGGAACCTTGTGGGGCAGACCCGGGCCTCTGAGCTACTCTTGGGGATCGCGTAAAATCCCGGCAAGGAGCAGTCGCGATGGGTTTCGTCAAGTGTCCTCTGCCTCCTTCGGATATCTGTTGAGGAAGGTTTGCCATCGGAGACGGCTGTGGGAAACCTTCGGTGGATTATCGCCGTGCCGCGGAGCCCGCGACTGGTGCCCAGATTCCGCAGGGGCCACGGTGTGCCTAGGCCTCCTAGATGGAGTCGGAGTAGATGGGGTCGGAGGATCGCGCCGCATCGCCGATGCATCGGCGATGCGGCTCGGTGCGGATCCCGATGTTCTTCACGCCGACGTCGCCGATGCATCGCCAACGTCGCCAGCGCGATGCATCGCCGATGCAGCGGTGAGGCGACGCGACCCTCCGGCCCCATCTGCTCCGACCCCACGTGGGAGGCCTCTCAGTGTATGGCTCCAGCATGAGCGCGCGTCCTTTTTGGCGCCCTGCAGGCCGAGTGGGGCGGGGGCTCGGGAGCTCTGTTGCGCCTCGCCCGCCCGTCCGTCCCCCCTGCACCCCCGGGGCCGTCTCGGCCCGCTCTTCGGGGCGCGTTGTCGACGAGAGGCACGACAGATGTCCGCGTTGCCCTGCTTCGGCGGCGGTCGGTGGCATAATGCTCTGTGTTTCGCCCCTCTTCCAGTTGATGTGAAGCAGCTCTCTCTCCCGGTGGGGGGTCGGCTCCATATCGTTCGTGGTGTGGTGTCGTATCTGTGTGTGTGTGTGTCTATCTGTGTGTGTGTGTGTGTGTGTGTGTGTCGGGCGGTCTCATGTTTCTCCCAAGATGCGGCTCCAACAAGCCATTTCTGTTGGGAATTGTCAGTCTTCTGGTTGCTGTGGTCATGCTTCATTGCGTGAGCCCGCGACGTCATCTTCTCAGAACTAGCCGCACAGACCATGATACTTGAATCGTCTCGAGGCTGGCTTCCAAAACCGTTCAACCAGGCTAGTCAGCGGTCTCGAGCTCCTTCATTCTTGGACCGCGACGTGGGTGAGCCCGTTCCTATTCCTGTACCTCTTCCTGTTTCTGTCCCTCCCTCCTGCACGGACGTCGCGAGAGTGGCCTGTGTTCCCTATATGTACACATATTTTATTCATGTGTTAGCACCATATATATATAGTTTATGTGTATATATATATGTATATATGTTCTATTTCATGAATGTACAAATGAATGTTCTTTTGTTCTTTCCGCGCGCAGTCTTGGCCCGAGTTGCCGTTTGATTCCCGTGCGCTTTCTGCTCCGAGCGTTTTCGGTTCCTCCAGAATGGCCGTCCCGCTGCGGCGTGGGCCTCATTTCAAGATCAACGCTTGGCTCCCATTGGTAGGACGGGCGTTCTTGGCCCTGCGCGGGCGACGTTTCTGGATCCCAGTCCTTCCTCATCGCTGTTGCCCGCCTGTCCCCTCTTTCGACATTCCTTGGTCCTCCTGATCGTTCCGCTCCTTCCACTCCAGCACTTGCTGCTGCTGTTCGTCCTCTTCCCTCCTCGTTTTCCTCCTCCTCCTCCTCCTCATCATCATCATCATCATTATCCCCCTCGTCGTCCTCCTCAGCCTCCTCTTCTTCCTTCTCTTCCTCCTCCTCCCTCCTCCTCCTCCTCCTCCTCCTTCCCATCCTCCTGCCCATCCTCCTGCTCATCTGCCACCCCCTGCGTTGTACGCAGCTCCTTTTTGCCCCCTGATTGTGCACAACACATGTGGTCATTTTTGAAATTCCAGGTCCACTAGGACGCGTCGTCGGATAGAGGGAAAGCAGCACAATGGGAAGGGATGGGCGGGAGGGGTCGGTTGTCACATACGGCGCGACCTCGCTTGCTGTATCTCCTGATCTCCCCTTTTCCCTCTTTCCAAGTTTTCCCCTTTCGCCCCTCCCCCTACACCTTGCCCCCTTCCCTTCCCCCCTCCCTTCCCGCCCTCCCATTTCCCCCCCCGTCTCTCGCTTTTCCTCCTGCCCCCCCCCTCCTCCCTTTCGCCTTTCTCCTCTTCCCTGTCTTCCTGTCTTCCTATCTCCCGGCACCGCGTCGCCCCCTACCCCGCCCCCCCCCCCCTCTCGCCCTGTTAATCCTCGGCTCTCCCCGCCCACCGCCCTCCCTCCGCACGCTCGTCCCCTCCTTCTCTTCGCGCTTCTTTCCCCTTCACCTTCCTTTTCCTCTCCTCCTTTCCCCCCCCCTCCCCCCTTCCCCTCCCTTCTCTTTCCATGTCTCTTCCTTCTCTCAGAAGTGTAACCTTGTGAGCGTGAGCGTGGCAATCGTCGATGCATATGGCCTCCATCAAGTGTTCGATCATGGGGCGTTAACCGCAACACTTTGGGTTTCGCGCCGAAGGCCGTTAGAAACAGCCGCAGAAGCCTCCTGGCTGAATACCTGGCCAGGCGCTGTGCGTGCGAACGAGCCTTCCAAGAAGGCAGAACGCTGCAGTGGATCGGGCACGCAGGAGTCTTTGCTTTGCGCTCTTGTTCGGGCGGACGTCGGACCCGACAAGGCTCCTCCCCGCCAGGTTCGCAGACCTGCACAGGTTGCTGCGGCTGTCGCGCCCGTTCCCAGGTCACCCGCGTGGGCGCGAAGGTAACCTCGCTCCGAGCGTCGCGTTCTTGGCCAAACCTGTTGCCCGTTTCCAAGGGGCGCCGCGAGGGCGCGAGGGCGCGAAGATCATCGCGCGTCGCGCATCGCGAGCGCGGTGCGCGAAGTAAGGTGACCTGGCTTAACCTTTCTGGAGGCGGCGCAACAGACACTGCCACCGCTGGAGAACAGCAAGGCCAGCCTTCGGGGAGCACCGCTGCTGGTGCCAGGGTCCACACTGAAAAGGAGAAGTTCGGCAGGTAACCTGCCGCGCGCGGTCGCTGCGTGTGGCCAGCTGCCCACGAACCCTTCGGCTGGCTGGGCGATCGCACCTCCCACTGTACGGCCGACCCAGTGCAGCGTCTCCTCATCACCCTGCCGCTCCTCCTCTCTGCCGCCACTGCTGCTGCTCCTCCCGCTTCGCCTCCTGTTCCTGCTGCTCCGGTCCCCGACTTCTCTACATCCTCCTTTTGATTGCGCAGGCTGCTGGGCGTCCACGTCCTCCTGCTCCTCCCTCCCGCTCTCTGGCCCCCCCCCCTCCTCCCTCCTCTCCCTGTTTCCCCCCCTGCCGTTCTTCGAGGAGGGGTGTGGGCACGTGCGCCAGCCTTCTGCTCCGCGCCAGGAGCTGGGCTTCACCAGCGAGGGCGATCCAGAGTTCACCGGCGAGCAGGCCGAGCGGCCTCGGAGTCCCATCCTGTTGGCAGGCGCCAGTCCAGGCACCTGCACGGATCCTGGCCGTCCAATCCTCGGCCAGGGTCTGTGTGTGTGTGCCTAGTTGGTGCTCCCTGGTCTCCCTCCCCCGTCTCGTCCCCTCTTCCCTCTCTTCCTCCCTATCTTCCTTCTCCTGCCTATCCCTCCGCCCTCTCCCCCCCTGAGAGTAAAACTGGGAGGGGCACGATTATGATGCTGCTGCTGCTCCTGATGATGATGCTGCTGCTGGTGCTCCCGATGCTGCTGCTGCTGATGATGATGATGATGATGATGATGAGGAGGAGGAGGAGGAGGAGGAGGAGGAGGAGCAGGAGGAAGAGGAAACTGGAGGAGAAGAGAAAGGAGGAGGAGCAGGCGCAGGATGAAGGGGAGGAGGAACAGCGTGATGAGGAGGTGGAGCTTGAGGAGGAGGAAGAGGACCGTGACGATGCTGATGTCGATGATGATGATGATGATGATGATGATGATGATGATGATGATGATGATGATGATGATGCTGATGATGATGATGATGATGATGATGATGATGATGATGATGATGATGATGATGATGATGATGATGATGATGATGATGATAAGGAGGATGATGATGATGAGGATGAGGATGACGAGGATGATGCCCATGATGATGGGGATGATGATAATGATGATTGTAGCACTGATGAAGACTATTCTGATGATTACGTACGATGATGCTGATTACGATAATGCCCATGATGATGCTGCTGCTGGTCATGATGATGCTCATGATAAAGATGATTATATTGATGGTGCTGCTGCTGATGATGATGGCGGTGGTGTTGGTCGTTGTGGCGGTGGTGATGATGCTGCTGATGATGATGATGATAGGTGGTGTGGCGGTGGTCGTGATGATGACGATGACGATTACGATTACGATGACAATGATGATGATGACGATGTTGAGGATGATGATGATGCTGATGATGCTGATGATGATGATGCTGATTATGATGATGCTGATGATGATGCTGATGATGATTGTGATGGTGCTGGCGAGGGTGGTGGTGCTGTTGATGGTGATGGTAATGGTTATGGTGACTGTGATGATGATGCTGATGAGTATGATGCTTCTGATGATGATGATGATGATGATGATGATGATGATGATGATGATGATGATGATGATGATGATGATGATGATGATGATGATGCTGATGATGATGATGATGATGATGATGATGATGATGATGCTGATGATGCTGCTGATGGATGATGATGATGATGATGATGATGATGCTGATGATGATGATGATGATTCTGCTGCTGCTGATAATTGACGACGATGATGATGGCAATGATGATGATGATTGGGAGGAGGAGGAGGAGGAGGAGGAGGAGGAGGAGGAGGAGGAGGAGGAGGAGGAGGAGGAGGAGGAGGGGGATGGGGGAGGAGGGTGAGGAGGAGGAGAAGCTGGAACGAGTATGGCTGTGACCTGCCGCTTTCACGACCGCTTTCACCGTATGCAACTGCTGCCCTGCGCTCTCACCATCACCTCAAGCTCCGACGCCGCAAGGTTTTCCACTTCCGTTACTATGCCTTTCTGTTATGTATTCCTTCGTGTACATACATTCCTTCCTTTCTTTTCCCCCCCATCAGGGCGCAGGGGGACATATTTACCCCTCCCCTGGTGGGTCCACGGTCCGCTCTCTTTCCTTTTCTTACGGCTACCCTAGTTTGATCAACCCCCCCAGGGTCGACCGACCCTGGGGGGGGCGTCGGCAACTGACAGACAATCAGGCCACCAGTACCTGGTACCCAGGAGGAGGAGGAGGAGGAGGAGGAGGAGGAGGAGGAGGAGGAGGAGGAGGAGGCGGCGGAGGAGCAAATGGGCAGTAAGGAAAGTACCAGCATGAAGGGTTGTTCACAGCGTCGATGACCTTCGGTGGAGGATGTCGCTCTACTGGCGGACCCGGGAAACGGGGGATTGCTGAGGGTGGCCTCGAGCGCGCCCAGCCATCAGAGCTCCTCCTGGTTCTTTTTTTAGCTCCTCACCGTCATGCTCTTTGGTCCTCCTTCTGCGTCTGCTCCGCGTCCTCCTCAGCTGGGTGGTGACCACACCGTGCGGTGAGTCGGTGGGGATTCGGGGTCACCGAACGGTTTTGGGACTCGGATCGTTCTCCGAGGACGTCTCGGGCGACTGGGGCATTCGAGGTCCCAAAACCGTGCGTCGACGCAACGTGCGGTGAGGTCTTGGGGGATTTCGAGGTCGGCGCACGGTCTGTCACCGCACCGTTTCGGGACTCCAAACCAATCCTCATCGCCGCAGCCCCAGGCCCAGTTCCACCAGAACTACT